ACATCATACATAAGATAGTTTGTACACCCCAAGGACATGAGCTCAGCTATTTAAAAAGAAACCCATAGGTGGTTAAAAATGTAAGAGACATCATCAAAAATGTAAGATACATCATCAAAAGCATACAGAAATGCAAAAAAAAAGCAATGGCCCCAGCAAATGGGATCAACGACAGTAAAAAAATGACAAATTAGTAAAAGCTACAAAAAGTAAAATGGGAAAGATAACTTGCAACAGGTTTCAAATCACCACAATAAATTGTAACAATTGTATTATGGAAACAAGGTGACAGGAGCATGAAAAATTGCAGTAATGTGCTTCATAAAAATGAGGAAATGTCAGTCACATTGAATAATTACTTTGCGTCAGTATTTACAGTAGAGGTTAGTATGCTAAGAAATCTCAAGGGAACCAATGCTAAATAAGGGATAAGCTCTCACTAAAATTAACATACGCAAAATAATAGTAACGAAAAAATAATGGGAAGTGGGCCTTTCTGGCTAAGCCAACATTCATTACACTTCCCTAACTGCCCAGAGAGTAGTTAGGAGACAATTACATTGCTGTGGGTCTACTATCACCTGTGATTGAAGGGGCCTAGTGAACCAGTTGGTATCTTACAACAATTGGCTGTGGTTATATGGTCTCCATTAGATAAACCCTTTTTCCTCAACTCCAGAATTTAATTGATATCTATTTTCACCATCTGCCATGGCAGGATTTGAACCAATATCCCCAGAAAATTATCTTGTGGTTCTGGATTACTAGTCTAGTGACATTACCACTGTGCCACTACCTCCACATAAGGAGTGGCAAATTATCATAACCAGATGGCTTTCATTCTGGGTTTTAAAGGGATTAGGTGCGAACATTGTAGATGCCCTAATTATATTCTTTTCAAGTTGTCTTGAAACAAGAGTCATTTCTTTAAATTGGAAAATTGCACATCAATCCGCTATTGAAGAAAGGTAGGAGGAGGAACAGGTGAGCTTAGGTACGTCAACCTTACACCTGTTGTTGGTAAATTACTCAAATATATTGTGAAGTATTATGTAAGTAAACACATTGAGAATTTTCAACTGACCGCTCAGAGAGAACCAGCTTAGATTTTTGTAAATGGTATGTCATGCCTGATGACATTTTTGAAGAGGTGACTGAAGTAGGGGACAAGGGAACATCGATGTGTGTTATTTATGTGGTCTTCTAGAAGCATTTTATCAAGTTAGAAATTATCAGCTAAGTGAAGCCCATGGGATTGAAGAATAATTTTTGAATTGGTCAAGAAATTGGTTGAATGGCAAGGGGCTAAGAGAAGGGACAATAAACTAATTAACAGCATTATTAGTGGTAATCTGTAAGGACCAGTTTTGGTGTCTCAGTCATACACCCTATTCAATGAGTGATGGTCTAGAAAGTTACATATCCAAATTTATAGACACCAAAAAGATAGTGGTATCATTACAAACAATTCAGATGTATGTGTAAAAATTACACAGAAATGTAGGCATGTGACATCATTCATTTTAGACCAAAAAGTATAGAACAGTGTACATTCTGAAAGGATGGAGATCCAATGAGATTTGAGACATATGGAGTGCTAAAATGTCATAAACAAATACAGAAAATAATCATGAAGGTCAGTGGAATACCAGCCTTAAATCTAGAGGACTACAAGACAGGATGTTAGATTATGCAGCCAACACTCTGTTAGACTACACCTGGGGTCCCATGAGCAGTATTGGTATCACACCCGAGGGGAAAAAAAAATTGACCTTGGAGGGAGAAAGGTTTCCTCATTCTCATACCTTGGCTCCAAGGGATAGCTTACACAGACAGATGGAAAACTGGGGCTTGCATTCTCTGGAATTTAGAAAGTTAGAGGTTGTTTTATGAAAGGTTTCAAGATATTGAAAGAGAACAGTAAAAGTCAATAGAGGTAAAATATTTTCATTGCTTTTGAGGGTTTAGGACTTTATTCAAGAAATTACAGGCAAAACTCTCACGCGTGAAATTAGGGACCTCTTCTAAACAGGAAGGATGATGTAAGTGTAGAATTCTCATCCATAAACAGAAATTGATAGTACATGAATTGTTAATTGTTTTCTTTTGAAGATATTAAGGGAGTACATGGAGTTAGGTTCAGCCCACCTTGACAGCTGTCATTAACTCAATGATTGCGATTATGGTGTCACACTGATTCAGCTAATATTATTGGCCAGTTGCATAATAACACACAGGTTTTGTACTGCATTATCAAGCTTTAAGTCTTGTCGTCCTCATGGTATTAACCTGCCACAGTAAATGAAACCTTACTAGCATTCTACATAAGTCAGATTTAATAAACCAGGGAGTTGTTTTTTAGTAACATTTTCCAAATCTCTCTCTGTTTAAAAAGCAAGGACACAGCTAAAGAAACATTTCTGACAAATGTGATATTGTGACATCCCTTTGATTGAGAGTCTCTCTTACAGTCCAGCCTCTCTGCAATAGTCAGCCTCTGGATTCAATCATTAGAGTTTTGGGCCCCAGTCCCCAACTCAAACCCTCCCTGTTCTAGATTACAGCCTGATTCCTCACCACACTCTCTTGTTGCTTCATAGAAGGGAGCTCCAGCCCACATTCCCTTTCTTCTCTAGTTAGGGACCTCAATCTCCAGTGCTCTCCTTGCTTGAACCCATGTTAGACTCACTGTGCTTTCGTCCTGCACTAGGTCAGGGCCATATTATTGTTGTGATCATTTGTGCTCCCAAGTTAGACACTGGGGTCCCACTGTATTCACTTTCTGAGTGAGCCTTAGATCCAGCTCTGAACCAGATAAAGTCTCCAGTGCCTCTCCCAGTTGTACATCTTGTACTAGTTTACAGCTGGAGTAGAGGCTGGGCTACAGTTCTGTATCTATCATGCATTAAAAGGGCCAGAGTTACATGGGAAAATCACTGGAACCTACAGACATTGCCTCATGAGCGTAGGCTTCTTCTCAGGCCAGATCGCAGTACTGTCAGTCCCTCCCAGATCAGGGACACAACACCAAATTTCTCTAGTATTTGTCCCTCGCAAGGTACAAATTACACTTGGTGAGTTGATTCAGCTCTTTTTTCAAATGCAAGAGTGTTCCCTGTTGCAAATTGAGCACGGTATTGAAAGGTTCAGTCTTCACCCAGCTGCAAAACCTAGCTTTTTAAAAAATATTTGTAAAAGTTGCAATTAGATCAGCAAAGAAATATGTGAGACAAGATGGGAAGACGGGACAGAGGAAAGGACGATTGTCAGAGTGAAAGTGAACGTTGGTGAGTGTGAGGTACTGGGATAGAACCAACTGAAAGTATGTGAGTTGAAAAGAAAAGGAAAAGATGTTGAGAAGGGAAGGATTGAGAGGGGGAGAAATAATTACAGAGGGAAGGGAAAAAGCAGAAAGATTTGTATTTGTAAAGTGCATTTCAAAAAAAAAATCTGACCACATGTAAAACAAGCAGCAGTGAATTGAGAGATCAACTTTGTTCTATTTTGTTTGTGCTGGTTGAAAGATAAATGGTAGGAAGAGTCCATTTCTTTGTTTGAATATTGAAATGAGATACTTTATGTCCACTTTAGAGGGCAAATGGAGCCTCAGTTTATTGTCTTATCTGAAAGTCAGCCTCTCTGAAAATGCAGCATACTCTTAGATTCTGTACGGTATCTGCCTAGGTTACCTGCTCACATCTAACAGCGTATACAAATACAAACTGATTAGCATTTCCATTCAATAGTAGAGAAAGAACTTTAGATGGAAAAAAAGTGATTTTCATTATAAGTGCTGCTCAGTGAGATATACAGATACAGTTGCTCTGCCTCTAAAGTGTGGGCAAAGGGTTATGAGCCTACAAGACAGTGAGCTAATCTCTGTCCACACTCTCTTACTCTCCACAGATGCTATTACTTGTTTGATTGGTTGTCATAGTCCTGGGAGGGGAAATAAGCCTGGTTGAAAAGGTAAAATGGCTGTAGCCGTTCCTATGACAAGTGTAGATCGGCAGGTCAACAAACCTACTGTCACTAGCATGAATAGATAAAGTGAAAAGAAACAGCTGAATAAAGGAGGAACAAAGGTTCTATAGGAACAAAGGAATATATTTGAGTATCATGTTCTTGTTGTGAGTATTGCCTAAACTCCAGAACAGACTAAACATGTTACCCTGCCTCCACTGTCACTGGATCAATATCCTGGAACACCCTACGTCATACCATTGCAAGAACTGCAGTGGTTCAAAAAGAAAATCCCCATCACCTTCTCAGGATAGCTATGGACAATAAATATGAATTTAGCACAATGAGAGGACAAGTAATAGGAATGTGCAGAGAATTATACATGCATGGCATGCGCTCACTATGAATCCTATCAAATCTCAAAGAGTGTGATCGACCTGTTTGCCTTCCTAGGTGGGCAACTATTGGCGAGGCGATGGTAACTGCTGTGCACATCCTGATGCTGAGCTGAGTTTGGTGCCATTGATGATTGGATGGCTACAATTGGATTAGCAAAGCACCTCTATTCTATGGAGAAGACCATTACTGCAGGCTGGACTGTAGAGAATACCTCAGCATCATTCAGGTGAAAACAACTTAGGACTCCAGAGAGGACAACCACACTCTCTCACCCTCCTGTTGCTACTTCCATGGAGACAATGCTAGGAATGAGCAGTGTCCATTCACATATAGGCAGAAAACCCAAATCTGAATTGCATTAATGTAGTCTGCTGGAAGGAGGAGAATCAGGGCACTGTGCCAATAATTAAACTTTGAAATTTGACAGCGCTGGCTCTTTCATGCTACTAGAATGAAATGATGAATACCGATTTTCAATCCAAATCAATCAAAATTGGAATCAGAACAATTTGGATTTTTTTTTCAAATTCAGATGAATCATAATTTCTGATTGGCTTCACTGCTCATCTCTATCGAACTTTACAATGTTTCAACTTTGGATGAAAAATTTGCAGAAAAGGAATTCAATATGCTCTTACCTTCCAACCAACCGAAACCATGGGAAGCGATCATAAAATGGATCCCCGCCCGTCATAACATTGTCACAGTCATCAACCACACTGGAAGGCACTTCAGCGGCACGATCATACATCTCCCGCATCAGGTCTAGTCTCTGCCTGCAGGAAGTAGGAATCCAACACAATTACAACCAGATCCTACCTAGCCGCTGGGCACAAGCAGATAAGGTACCGCTCAGGTGGGAACGGCAAACACAGCTTCGTAGGATCCACATGCCTTGCTGTTCACACGGGGTCATGGGGTGCGACTAAACAACCATTGTAGCAAAGACTATTGGAATTTTGGAATTTTGCCAGAGGTGGCAGGAAGCCATGAGGTACCAGTATGCCAACTAACAGGTCAAGAGGAAAATGATCATTTTAGGGAGGCCAAGATAGTCAATAAGATTTTAAGGACGATAACTGCAGATTAATGCAAATAGTAGAAAGGTGAATGCCTTGAAAGGGGCCAATTTTGCAATGAGCCAATAAATAATGTGGAATACTTGCTGCTTAAAGAGGAGATGCCACTTTTAGGGGAGGCAGCAGCATAGAATGTCACTAGATTAGTGATACAGAGCCCAGATTTTAATATTCAGGAGAATGGATTCTAATCCCACCATGGCAGATGATGAAAGTTGAATCTGATTTTAAAAAATGGAATTAAAAGTTAGCATAATGGTGATTTGCTGACCAGAGTTGATTGTTTTGAAAGACCGTTTGGTGCACCAACATCCTCTAGGGAAGGGAATCTGCCATCTTGACCTGGCTTGGCCAATGTCTGTTCAGTTCCACAGCAGGGTGGTTAACTGAAGTGGTTTAGCAAGCCATTCAGTTCCAAAGCAATTCAGGATGGGCAACACGTGCTGATCTAGCTAGCAACACACCACATCTCATGAATGAATAATAATTTTTTTTCAAAAATCAGGATATGATCGGACTACCCAACTATGTTATGGGTGCTGATATTCCGCTGCCCACTGCTCAGGAAAATGCTCATTTCCTAGGTCTCAAAAGTGAGGGAAAGGCTCTGAAGAACGACTATACCAAACTTGTTTATTCGCTCATGGGGTGTCCCCATCGCTGGCTGACCAGCTTTTATTGCCCATCTCTGGTTGCCCTTGAGATAGTGGTAGTGAGCTGCTTTCTAGCTTCACTGCAGTCCATTTGCTGTAGGTTGACCCACAATGCCCTGAGGGAGGGAATTCTTTGCCTCCTTTACTCAGCCTGGAGATTTCCAGAAATGCAAACAATCAAGAGGAATTGGACTTGAGCCTGAACTCGAATCAAGTAAACTTGAAGTGAACACTCAATTTATGTTGACTTCATCCAAGAGGCACTCATACCAAGAAGCTGGTTTTGAGGTTTGTGCCTGGGAAGCCCTCAGCTCAGAGAATGGGAATCTGTTTGGAGTTGAGACAAAGATCAGTCATGATTCCAAACAAACGTGAAACACCAGGGACTTAATGGTCATCTATCTTCTAAGTAGAATGTCTTTTCTTGAAAGTACCCAGTCGACAAGTGATTGCTTTTAAACAGAATTCTTGGATGAATTGTGAATGCATGAAATACAAACAGGTAACTTTAACTCATATTTGCTCTTCGAGGGACATATTTTAAACTTTGGGAGCAACTGGATGTTTCAAAGGCAGCGCACCATGCCTGTGCCTGCACTTCAGAGATAGTTCAGCGCCACTTTCTCAAGGGCAATTTGGGATGGGCAATAAATACTGGTCCAGCCATTGATGTCCACAACCTGCGCTCTCACACTTTTAAAAAGTTTCTCTCCAGAAGTTTGAACGATGCCATAGACGTAAGCAAATGTATTGATTCTATTCTTTGATCCATGCTGAGGAAGCTTTGCTCAAAAAGTGGAGCATTGTTTAATTTGCTATGTACTCTATATAAAGCAGACCTACTTTTCAAGTCGAATTGTGATCCAGATGCACATATATACAGATTATGCCAGTCTAGCATTTGATGCACGTGTGTTGATTTACCTGATACAGCAAATTTTGTCTAACCGGTACCCTCAATAAACGGCAAAAATTATCCACCTCAAATACTGCAAAGTTTACTGTATCATTCCGTCCAATTATGATAGTTTTTTCATTTATTTATCTCAAGGTAAATATATTTGTTATTCAATCGAATAGCCACGCAAAATATTGACAGTTGATTCAATTCTGGGTCAATTTCTCCTCAAATACCATAATCTACCAGGATGCCTGAGTAGTCAGTTAAGGATCTGAGAGAGAAGGCCCCCTGCATTACGTTTCTATTACTTCATGTGTGTTTCCATATTGATTATGTTGACCTCCTGATTAGATGGAATATTTGATCAATTGGCACACTCCTGGTCCCATGGGTGCCGAATAATAAAAAAATTACTGCCTCTCTCTCTGTGCAGACCATCCCTGTTTAGCCTTACTCACCAAGTAACAATGGCTCTGTGATATCTCTTACTTCTTCGTACCTGAGTTTCTCCAGCGTCCAGTAGTGAGTTGCTCCATTCTTCTGGTCTTGGACTTCCACAGCCACAATGGTGCGTGGGAATGGGCGCTTCTCCCTGTCCTTCACAGCATCAGGAGGCATGAGATCAGGTGGTAGAGGGGAGTACAATGTGTCTGTGAGGAGAACGAATTGGAACTGCACCTGTTCAAATGGAAAGCAAAACCTTTCAAGCATGTTTCCCTGATCCATCTTCGTGGAACTATATCCACTCCTATGAGTTTAACACAGTATATGATTTGTAAAATTGGGGAGATGGTGAGTTTTACTGAGGAGTCTTCTCTCAGTACCAACAATGATCCATACCTTCCCTTCCACTCGTGTCTTGGAATATATTTTTACTGTACAACTATGCACCTACCTTTCACCATTGCTTATTCGTGTCCTTCTAGTCTAGCTTCTGTCCTACCCACACAATACTAAGAAAGAGTCCTAATGCAAGAAAAGACCCAGCCACTGAACTGAAGATTGATTATCATTCTGCAGTCTACACTGTTTTACAGTTAAAAAAACACTGAGAAACAACTCATCCCACCCCTGTGGCCTGGGCTCCTGGTCTACAATTTGTTTTCTCCTTTCTATGTTTTCTAACCACTTTTTTTGTGTTAAACTGTGTGTTTGTCTGTCTTATTTGTGAATTAATGTGTGCGTTTTGGGGGTTTTAAAAGGATTCCACTTAAAACCAAAGTTGCATAATAATGAGAAATCCATTTTTGTTGTCATGTGTTAATAAGTTTGTTTTTCACAATAAGTAGTTACTTTCCTGTTAACCACGAAACTGATGTGATTTATTTTTATCCTGGATATATTCTATCATACATTTTGATCATCTTGGTGGTTTAATTAAGTAATTAAATATTTAGAATAGAATTGAATCCCTACAGTGTGGAAACAGGCTCTTTGGCCCAACAAGTCCACACCAACTCTCAGAGCATCCCACCCAGACATAACCCACCTAATCTACACATCCCTGGACAGTACAGGCAATTTAGCATGGCCAATCCACCCAGCCTGCATATCTTTGGACTGTGGGAGGAAACCAGAGCACCTGGAGGAAAACCACACAGACATGGGGAGAACATGCAAACTCCACACAGCCAGTCACCCAAGGGTGGAATTGAACCCAGGTCCCTAGCACTGTGAGGCAGCAGTGCTAACCACTGAGCCACCATGCTGCCCATTTGTGGAGTAGTTATGCTGGATTATCAATGTGCTCTTCTGAATCGAGTCATGACACCAATAACCACACAGCAGTCTAACAGAAGGCACGATAAGACATAGGAACATTCAGCCCATCGAGTCTGTTCCACTATTCAATAAGATTGGAGCTGATCTGATAATTCTCCACTCCATTTTCCTACTTTCCTCATGACTCTCAATTTCCTTACTGATTTAAAATCTGTCTATCTCTGCCTGGAATATACTTCATGGCCCAGCCTTGACAATCATCTCTGGTTAAGAATTTCACCGATCGACTAACCTCTGACAGGGATAACAACTTCTCAGTGAGCCCTCAAAGAGTCTTATATAAATATATTTTAATAAGGTCACCTCTCACACTCCTGATCCCAACGAGTGCAGGCACAACCTAATTAACCTCTCCTCCTAAGAAACTCCTTCTGTAACAGGAATCAACGTGAACATTCTCTGGGCTGCCTCCAATGCCAGTCTATCTTTCCTGAGATAAGGGGATCAGAATTACTCACAGTATTCCAGATGTGGTTTGACTAAGTGCCTTGTATAGTTTTAGCAAAATTTGCCTACTTTTATACTCTATTACTGTTGAAGAAAAAGGCCAACATCCCATTTGCTTTCCCCATTACACACTGAACTTGGATGCTGCCTTTTTATGATTCATGGACAAGGACCCAGAAATCCCTCTTCGCTGCAGCCTTCCTCCATCCAGCTCCTCTATTCGTTTTGTCAAAGTGCAGGACCTCACAGTTTCCCACATCATATTCCATCTGTCAAGTTTATGCACACTCACTTAACCTGTTCTATGTTCCCATGTAGACTTTTTTTTTTCCTTTATTCATTAATGGGATGAGGGTGTCGCTGGCTAGGCAACATTTATTGTCTATCCCTAATTGCCCAGAGGGAGTTCAGAGTCAACCACATTGCTGTGGGTCTGGAGTCACATGTAGGCCAGACCAGGTAAGGATGGCAGTTTCCTTCCCCATTGGACATTAGTGAACCAGGTGGGTTTTTCTAACAATCAACAATGTATTCATGGTCATCACCAGATTCTTAATTCCAGATATTTTACTGAATTCAAATTTCACCATCCGCCGTGGCGGGATTCGATTCCAGGTCCTCAGCATGTTATCTGGGGTCTCTGGATTAACAGTCCAGCGATAATACCACTAGGTCATTGCCTCCCCTATTTGTGTCGTCCTCATCACTTGCCTTCCCACTTTTTTTTGTCATCCACAAGCTGGCAATAGTACATTCACTTCTGCCATCCAATTCATTCGTATAAGTCACAAATAATTGTGTCCCCGTCCAGATTCCTGTAAGTTTACCTAACTCTCTATGTTCTATGAGTTAGACAATCCTCTACTAAGTAGCCTATGTATGGTACATTACCATAGGCCATTTTGAAATCCAAATACATTACATCTAGTGGCTTCCTCTTTCTCCACTCTGCTTATTACCTCCTCAAAGAACTGTGATAAATTTGTTAGGGATAATTTCCCTTTTATGCAGCCATGCTGACTTTGTTTGATTGTGTTAAGTATTTCTAAATGCTTTCCTAATTCATCCTTTACAATAAACTCTAACAAACCATAAGATGCAACCCATCAGGTCCAGGGAATATCTTGGCCTTTAGCTCCATTAGTTTCCCTTGTCTCTAGTAATCGGTATTGTGCTTATTTCCTCCCCTCAATGTCTGATGTTATTCCCAGAAAAATTGCCAAATACCTTTTTCTTCAATTCCACGCTGATAGCGTTGGCCTCTTTCAGAAAGATGGCATTTCCCCAGAGCAGATCACGTAAGGAGGTAAACTGGTAGCATCTCCACTTACGGAATGCCCATAGTGCCAATTCAAACTCCCGCTCTGTCCATTGCACTATGTAGAAAGATAACAATGGAAAACAGATCAGAACAAAAGATTGAAGAATCAAACCTGACAACCATCACTCTAAATACAAGCCTTCCTACACAAACCATGGGCCCTAATCACTAATCCTCCAGAGTTCCCATACCTATAATACCTATCCATATTTCACACTGAGTGAGGCGTAGAGTGTGAAATTGTAAGCAGGGTTATGAACTTTCTGAATTGGAGTGGTCATTAAATGACATTATTTCTGCTCCTTAAATGCCCAGTTTGTCCTAGAGTATGAAAGGACAGTACCAAAAACAGAAATTGCTCGAAAACCTCAGCAGGTCTGGGAGCAGCTGCGGAGAAAAATCAGAATTAATGTTTTGGGTCCAGTGACGCTTCTTCAGAACTGGACCCATAACATTAACTGTGATTTCTCTTTGCAGATGCTGTCAGACCTGCTGAGATTTTCTCGCAATTTCTGATTTTGTTTCAGATGTCCAGCATCTGCAGTTCTTTAGGTGTTTAGTGAAAGGACAGTGTCCCACACAATAAAAGCACAGTATACAACACCATCACACTTAATCATAATCATCTGTTTTTGATGGAAAAACCACAATTTTGCTAGAGAACCAATTACCAGTGATGGGAACATGAGTTACAGAACCTTAAAAAAACTGCAGAAAGATCAACCTTCTGAAAGTTTGTAAATATACTCTATTGGTCTACATTGTTGTCACTTCTTTAAGGACCATGCATTGGTTGTTTGTGGTTGTCACTGATTGAAATATTAAATTCTATCCTGTTCTTCGTTTTGCCATATCTTATTGGTCAACATCCTGCCAAAATATTTACAGCTGCAGGAGGTTTACAAGAAGCCTGCAGGTGACTTCTTCCCTGTAGAAACGGCTTGCAATTTTCTTAATACATATTAATGATCTGGATCTTAATGTGTAGGGGTCAATTTCTAACTTTGCAGTTGACACAAATCTTGGAAGCATTGAAAATTGTGAGGAGGACAGTGTAGAACTCCAAGAGGACATTGAGAAACAAGAGAAATGGGCAGATAGTTGGCAGATGTGTTTCAATGCAGAGAAGTGTGAGGCAATGCACGAATACATGGGAGGATAAACATTGAAAGACAATATAAGATAGGTGGTACAATTCTGAAGGGAGTGTAGAAGCACAGAAAGCTGGGTGGATATGTGTACAGATTACTGAAAGTGACAGGCCAGGTTGAGAGAGCACTATGTGAAACATACAACATCCTTGGATTTATTAATAGTACAAGAGCAAGGAAGTGATGTTGAACTTGTATCACATTTTTGTTCCACCTTAGCTGGAGTCTTATGTACAGTTAGCAGTACCACATGATAAAAATGATGTAGTGTAGAAGCAATTTACAAGAATGTTTCCAAGAGATGAGGATAGATTGAAGTAGTTGAGACTGTTCCCCTTGGAGAAAAGAAGGCTAAGAGGAAATGCTCAAGGTTTTCAAAATTATGAGTAAGCTGGATAGAGTATATAGGGAGAAGTTGATCCTACTCATAAAAGGCACAAAGACAAGACACCATAGATATAAAGTTATTTGCAAAAGAAGCAAGCGTAAAGTGAGGAAAAACATTTTCATTGAGTAGTTAGGGTATGGAATGGACTGTCTGGAAGCGTGGTAGAGGCAGGTTCAAATGAGGTTTCCAAGAGGGCATCGAATAATATATTTGTATAAAGATAATGTGAAAAATAAGCATAGATTGGCACTAGTTAATGATGTTCATTTAATAAGTCAGTGCTGGCATGATGGACCAAATGGCCTCTTTTTTCTCTGTACCACTTCTGTGATTCTGAATTTAAATTGGGGCATAGCTGAGATCGATTACTCAGTTTGTGTGCTCAGATCATAGTTGCAGAGTCACACAGAGCCACCCAGGCCTTTCTACAAGTGATTAAAACATCATGTATAGTTTCTAGCAAAGCCCCGAGTACCGCTCCACTCCATGAGCTGCACTGATCACGGACCCAAGTCAGAGAAGGATCAACATTAAAACTGGAGAACACTTTATCTCTCACCTTCCTCCTCTGGTTCTTCATCTTCCTGTGCATTGTCTGGGTAAAAACAGGAATCCATCTGCCTTTGTAAGGCCTCAAGCCTGCTTTCGTAGTCCTGGAAGGAGCAGGTTAAAATAAGTTGTTAAAAAGGAAACATGGCTGATCATCTAAAGGCAAATGCATCTGTCCAGTAAATATCATCTGTGCACTAACACTGCTGCCATTATCTGGATGCAATGAGGTATGTAAACATTTTCTGAAGACTTGCCAATGCCACAAGGACCAGGCATGGCAAATGCTGCATTCCCTGAAGTCTAAGGTATTGAATCAATAAGCATCCGTTGAACAGTCCCAGGATTTTAGAGCTATGAAGGGAAGCTTGTAGGCTAATTAAAGTTCGCTCTAATTAAAGTTCCACATTATATACTTTTCAAAGTGCTAGCCTAAGACAGCTAAAGAGGAACAATTGAGGTTTTCTGCAACTGGAATGAGTAGGAAGGGGAATTATACACAATGAGTAAAAATGTGAAAAGGCTTTATTCAATAGAACTCTGCACCAAAGGAATGAATTGGAAGCCAAATTGATCCTTTGAAATTCTGAGCAATGGGAATGACTGAAAATATGCTTGCTTCATTACTTTTCTATACAATAGGAGATAACTAAAAGGAGATCTGGCCATTCATTTCTATAAAATAGGATTGAACGGGAAGAGGTTTAGGCCATTCTAATTCTATAAAATGGGAGTGAATAGGAAAGGGATTTATTCAACGAAATTCATAACAATGAGAGTAAACAAGAAATGATTTAGTTCATTGGAATTCCATACAATAAGAGTGAATGGGGAAAGGGCTGTACAATAACTATCCTCGAATTAACATTTTCTTGAATTCAAATCATTGCTCTACAGAGACAGATCAGGTGAAATTCCATGCTGGAATCCGAGATGGACCAAAATTTAAAGAATCACATGTGGAATGGAGCTTGAAATTAACTTTCAGTCAAACAAGCTCTGAATCCAGAATGCATCAGGAAAAAGAATGCAGTTGTTGCAAACTTTTCCTTTTATCCCTCTTTACCAACTTTTGATCATTATCTGTGATTGTTTGAACTTTGGCTGTTTCTTTGGTTCAGGTGGAGAGCTTCTTTCAACTGGAGTTTTGGCGAATGCTTATGATCTTGAGATTATTATGGAAACCGCATTGTAATGGACCATATATACAATAACTGTAAGGACAGATGGACTGGTAGGTGGTCTGACAGATAAATGGAATACATTGGTTTGTTGGGCCCAATGACCGAGTCCTCTTCCTAACTGACACTGATTAACCCACTAAGTTTTAACTCAGCACCCACTTGCTGCATTTATGGGTGGAAGCAATGAGCTGATGCAAAGAAATAGCTGGTAACTGCAAACCTTTCTGTTACCTAAGTAAAATTCGAGAAATTGTTCTGTCACATACCAATCTCTGCTGCTCCAAAAGTAAATCAGCTTCCTCCTTTTCTCTCCGATATTGTGTCTCTAGTTCCTGAAGCCTAAGAAGCAATTCCAAAAAAGAAAGCATCGTTCTCAAATTGATTCAGAAAAGCCAACCCAGATCACTGCAAATCATTCAAACTGAGGGTACAGTCAACCTTAGGAATTAACCTTAGAGAATCCGGTTGTGTGTCTCATATGGTAAAGGTCATTCAACGCTATATGATCAAACAGTTCCAAGTTAAGGATGTCAGGGGTTAGCCATCTCTGAACAGGCCATCACAAGTTAGATGTAGTGTTGAAGGAGCTTTACTCTATCTATCAAATACTCCCAGGTCACGCATGAATATGGGTTAGATGCAAAGTAATCTGCCTCTACACTGTCCCAGGCATCACTCCCAGGTGAGGCACAGCAGAGCTCACAGACTGACATCTTCTGCATTGTCCGTGCACAATGGACAACTGGGATCATCAATTTTCAAGGCAATACGATATTTTCACAGGAACATGAATTGAAAGACATCACAATTGTGATCCTAAATGTGACAATCCTCCTGTAGTCTAACATATTGGAAACAGAATTTGACTTATTTGTTTACCATAGATTAGTGGATAAGCATTGGAAACAGAGTGAATCAAACTGGATCTAAATGAATAGTCTTATTCAGAGATGCCACAAGTGTTGACTGACCGATATCGAAATACCAAATTGGTGTAAAGGTGTGCTGTGTGCTGTTTAGTTAGAACAGACGGACTGGCAGGGTTGGGATGCATTGTCACCCTTCATTATTACTTTCGTTGTGATAAGTATTTGCTGTAAGTTTCCATTGACGTTTGATTTTGTGTTACAGTGCCTCACCGGGGACTGCCTGACCTGTCTGACCTTAGAGTAGGATAATAGGTCAGCAAAACATAGTGGGCTGAAGGGTCTGTACTGTGCTGTACCATTCTATGTTCTATGTTCCTTTGAAAAGAATAGAAAAATGACTGTCATTCTGCAGCTGGCTATGAGTCAGTTGACCTGGCCATGTCTAATGTTGGCTTGTGAAGTGGGAGGTGAGCAGTTTCTGGGCTTAACTCTGTTACTCTTGTCTCTTGCCTTTTTTGGAAGACTGTGTATATTACAGATTTGCAATCAATCATTCCTAAAACCATGAAGTGACAAACATACTGAACATTAAGAGTGCTGTGAGAAGTTTGTTATCGAAAAGTGATAGCCCAAGTTAAAAAATCAATAATGCATCTCACAACACTGCAACCACCTACTTCTGCAAAACTCCCCCTCAAATTGTTTATTTCATTGGGCGGATAGTCTGATCTCCCCAATCAGTTTTACAGGTACCCACCAAGACAGGTACCCACCAAACCTAAGGCTTAAATACCTAATGTGCTCCTAAGCAATTGGAAGTACATTATCACAGAATAAAGCCACTGTGTTGTTTCTTGCTTCCAAAACTTGTAAGATCAAAGATGTGATAAAAAGGTGCCAATAATTTAACTTGGTGGCTCGTGCGGAAATTTGATCATTGCTCTCGGGTGAAGTGATCTCAATGACTTTCAATAGGTTGTTTAGCTTTAACCCAAATAATTCACCGACAATCTTCCATTTACTATTCTCAACTGACCCCAAATCCTTGTAGTATTCGTTCTTTTACCTCTGCTCCATCTCTTGTTTCATGTCAATGCCCTGCTTCTCCAACAATTCCCGCTGAGCAAAGGCCCAGTCCACAGGCTCCACTGGTGTCTCTGCACAGGGTGTCTTGTCACGCTCTTGACGGGCCTGCTCAGGGTGGTTGAAACGGAAGACATGGCTCTTCCCCATAATGATACGGTTTCCTTTTAATGAAAAGAAATGGAAAAATTGTCTCTATTTGGAATTCTGTATTTGGAACGTAAGTTGAGCAGTCAGTTTATTAGAAATACAGGGTGGAATTTTACATTGTCCTCCCCAAGAGCCGTGCTAGGAGGTGAGGGGGTCTTTAAATCAGGCACTATAGTATTAGTGCTATACCCATCACCTTTACCTATCTCCACCACTCTTCTTTAAACCTATTATGTCTACCTGAGAGGGCAGATGTACCTTTGGTTTAATACCTTGTCAGAAAGCCAATTCTTCCAACAATGCAACAGTCTTTTAATACTGCACTGGAGCATCATCCAGGTCTCTGGAACTGGACTTAAATCCACAATTGACAGGTCAACATGCTACCTCTGCGCCAAGACTTTGGAGCAAGATGAGAGACAAATTACATCTACACAGCAAGTGAAGATCTTGGTACTCTATAGAAAACAAGTGAATGGTGATATGGAGGGACTTCAGGATCTCTCTGGATGGATGAGTTTGGATGGACCAATTGGTCTTTTAACCTGCAAATATTATAGGAATATTTACAGTGAATGATGTTGTGTTATGATGAGTGAAGTGTTGTTATACACCAAAACTTTCAACAATCTCTTGATACTGGTTTAAAGAGTTACATGCAAGTTTAGCTCATCTTCATATTGATATTTCCACTGCCATGTGTTTGTATTGATAGGAATGAGCTGCAAGGTTATAGCAATGCTTCTGCCATTTCAGAATACCATTTAGATTCTGGAACAACTCTTGCAAAGGAACTGCCTCTTAAACCAGTTCAGATCCAATGCACTCTTGTCTCTGAATCAGAAAGTTATTGGTTTAGTCTTCATTCCAGGACAATCCAAGCTGACACCTCAATGAGGCACCGAGCATGCATTGCATTGTTGGAGACGCTGTGAATGCAGATGGGACGTTAAAACAGAAACCTGTCTGTCTCTTCAGATGGACGTAAATGAATCCATGATGAAGAACAGGGATGAAGAAGAGCCATCAGACCCAAAACAGTAACTGTGCTTTCTCCCTACAGATGCTGCCAGACCTGCCGAATACCGCCAGCAATTTCTGTTTTAGTTTGAGAAAGAACAGGGAGTTCTCCAGTGTGCCAGTCTATAGTCGTTCTCGAACTAACATGGTTTAATCTGATCAATGACATTGATGGCAGAGTTTTGCCTGCACAGCAAGAGTTATTACACTTCAGCTCATGGTTTGTGATGTGCTTTGAAATTTCATGATGATGCGAGAAGGTGCCGCATGACCAGAATTCCACTCTTCTTTCATTAACGGCGTTCTTCAAGAGTGTTCGTAAAAGAGGTTTGTCACTGATCCTCCTTCCGTACAGCCTCAAAATGCATGCACACACTACACACTTCAGGAAACCTTAAACAAAAGCAGTGGATGCTGAAGAAAACTCAGCAGGTCGGGCAGCATCTGTAGAGACAGAAACAGAGTAATGTTTCAAATCCAGTGACCCTTTATCAGAACACTAGATTCGAAACATTAATTCTGTTTTTCTCTCTACAGATGCTGCCAGGCCTGCTGAGTTTCTCCAGCACATTCTGCTTATTTCAGAGTTCAGCGTCTAGAGTACTTTGTTTGTATTTTAGGAAACCTTGTAATAGCAGGCTAGCTGATTTTCTTTGCCCTAGAGGTTGAGACTTATTTTAGAATTTCAGAGGTAGAATCTTATTACTTGCTGACAGGTGACATAGCGACATAGGTGTGAAAATTACCACTCGCTATAGATTTCAAATGATCTATATGTTCCCTTTGAATTTAAATCCCTTGATGAGTAATTAAGGCTTTTGGTCACTTGTAAAAGGAGAAGCTGATAATGTTAACATCAGGGCAAGATGAAATACAGAGATATACATAAGTGTACAATTGAAACCCGAGCCTGTACATGAGATGCATGCCAAGTACACACCTGACCGAAGTACAGTTGGTTCAGTCACTTTCTTTCCATTGACATATGTGTCTGCTCCCTCACATGGTTCAAGGATGACAATCACTACAATACAAAAGAAAAATGGTCAAGTGGTTTCAGAACACTACAACTGAGCTGCTAATCGGCAGTGATTAAACCGTATTACAGACCACCCTGATCCATGCTTTTGCTGTCAGACCTTTCCAGGGGTCTCCTTGCTGTCTCTGCAGAACTTTTTGCAAGAGTTCCCCTGAGGAGGAATCAATCATTCGGCAGTACACATTGGCCTTGTTCATCCAGGTATCCAGAGGCATCACAATACAGTTTCTACAAACCTACCGCTAGTAGTTTTGGGAAAAGCAACGTAGTGGTTATGTACTTCATGAGTTCTTTTTTTTGCCTATATGTACAGTGAGGAGGCAGTAGCCAAGTCCACCTCAGACAGAAAAAGGATCAAACTCCATACCTTTGGAGTTAATTAGAACCCATGTTAGCCATCAAGGCAACTAGGCTCACCAGCCATCACTGTGGTTTACAATACTCTTGGGTTAGTAATACAGAAGTTCAAGTCCCACAAAGACAGTTTGCAAATATAAAGTCAGTTTTAAAAAAATATATGGAAACAAAATATTGGACAAGTGACCACGTAGCTGCCAGTAAGTTGTACAAACCCAACATTTCAGGAATGTTCTTTAGGAAAATAGTACCTTTTAAAAGACAACTGGATAATTTCTGAAAGGGAAGTATGTGTTGGACAATAGGAGGAATGCAGAGCTGTAGGACTAATTGAATAGCTTCTTCAAAGAGCTAGCACACAAATGGTGGGATGAATAGCCTCATTCCATGCTGTGGTGATTCTCCTGAGCATACAGCTCTGATTCAAATGAAGATTTCTAACCTAAGTTAAAGCTTCTTTCCATTAAAAGTTCCAACCACTTCAAGACACCAGGTATGTCCTGGGGTTATTGCAGTTGACGTGGTTGTCACACAGTGGGTAAATTAGACATTCTGTTAGCATGAAACTCCAAAACCACCATGACCAGACTCTACAGACAGGATCATTGTGCTGTACCTTCGCCTAAAGATTTAATATCGCTGCGGAAGATGCAATGCTCCTCTTTAATGAAATGTCCACTCAGCACAATGTCCTGCCGCTTTTCCGCATCTTCACGCCCAACTCTGAGAAAACAGATTAAATAGTTTGAAATCTATGAAAGTATTGAAATGCAGGCCAAGCCATTTATAGGGTTTACAAGTTACACACATTTAATTGTCTCATTATTGCATTATAAAGTTAATTATGATGGAATCAATTTACTGTAAGCACCAGAGAAGCAGGAGCAGAGACTCCCACTTCTTACAAATTAAAAGGGTAGTTGGGCACCCGTGTGGGTCTGAGCTATGCCTGCCGCTTTGTAGGATATGTGGAACAGTTCCCCTTCTGCTGTTACATTTGCACCATTGCTCATCTCTTCCTCCGCTACATTGATGAGTCTATCATGCTGCCTTGTGCTCCCACAAGGAGCTTGAACAGTTCATTAACTTTACCAACGCCTTTCACCCCAACCTCAAATTCACCTGGACCATCTTCGATACCTCTCTCCCCCTCTGGAGCCTCTCCATCTCCATCTCCAGTAACTGTCTCAGCACCGACATCTATTTCAAACCCACTGACCCCCACAGCTACCTAGACTATACCTCCTGTCACCCATCCTTCCTGCAAGAATGTGATCTCTTACTCCCAGTTTCACCGCCTCGGCCATGTCTGCTCTGAGGATGGAGGGTTCCACTCCCGCACATCCCAGATGTCCTCCTATTTCAAGGACTGCAACCTCCCCCATCCACAATGCCCTCGACCACATCTCTTTGTTTCCTGCACTTCTGCCCTCACATCCCCTCCCCCCAACAAAAATAAGGACAGAGTCCCCCTTTTCCTCACATATCACCCCACCAATTCCGCATTCAGTGTACCATCATCCGCCACTGCTGCCACCTACAATCTGACCCCATGACCAAAGAGATATTTCCCTCCCCACCCCATCTGCTTTTTGTAGGGACCGCTCACTCCACGACATTCTCGTCCGCTCCACACTCCCCTCTAACCCCACCACACCCGGCACCTTTCCCTGCAACCGCAGGAAGTGCTACACCTGCCCCTACACCTCCCCCCTCACCTCCATTCAAGGCCCAAAACAATCTTTCCATATCCAATTGGTGTTCACCTGTACATCCTCCAACCTGGTCGACTGTATCTGTTGCTCCTGATGTAGTCTCCACTACATCGGTGAGACCAAGTGCAGGTTCGGTGACCGATTTACGGAGCATCTGCGCTCTGTACACTATAATTAACAAAACCTTCCACTTGCCAACCATTTTAATTCCCCCTCCCACTCCCTTGGTGACATGTCCATCCTGGGCCATCTCCAATGTCATAACGAGACGACACGCAAACCGGAGGAAAACACCTCATATTCCGCCTCGGGAACCTACAGCCCGTTGGCCTCAACATAGAATTCACCAGTTTCAAAATCTCCTCACCCCCAGCGTCATCCCATGTCGAACCCTCCCTCTCATCCCCACCTCCTTGACCTGACACAACTTGTCCATCTTCTCTCCCACCTATCCACCCCACCCATTCCACTGACCAATCCCCCCCACTCCCTACCTGCATCCAGCTCTCACCATCCCACCTACCTTCCCCCAGCCCCACCCCTCCTCCCTCTATTTACTTCTCAGCTGTCTTCCCTCTCCCCAGTCCTGAAGAAGGGTCCCAACCCGAAACGTCAACTTTCCTGCTCCTCTGATGCTGCCTGGCCTGCTGTGTTCCTCCAGCTCCACACTGTGTTATCTCAGACTCCAGCATCGGCAGTTCTTGCTATTTGCTACTGTAAGCACTGTACCTATCAATAATTACATTGAGGCAATATTTCATTTGGCTGATTGGATTCTACATTTGAGCAGTGGCGAAATACAAACCAAACATCTAATATTATGGGATTGCTTCTCTGCAGGTTTTGTCCAACCCACACAAACTTTGGTCACAACCTCAAAGAAATACTGTCAGCAGCCATTAACATTGTTTCTTCCAGTTTTCAATCAAAGGTGGGGCATCATTTAGAGCGCTTGCTGAAATTAATCCCATTGCCTCCGTTCTTCCTTCTGATTTAAAACTAGTAAGTTCAATGAAAAATGGTGAGTAGTTAATGAAAAAAAATGATGTAATGGAAGGTAGTTCTGTGATTTTCCAAACATGAGACCAAGGCCCCTTCCCAAGGCTGCTCATTTCTAATACCTACTTCATGGTCCAGCAATACTGCAGCAAGGATGCCATAATAGAGGGAGTAACACTTGTCTGTCGCTGTGGCTTATGCTCAAATTGCAAGGATGTTTGGTTTTCCTTACCATCAATTATCACTTCACCAGCATCAAAAATAACAGATTAATTTGCTACTCATGGATGGCATTAGGGTTACAGGCCACACGACAATATCCTATAGTCTTCAAGAATTAAAGATTAATTGCCATGATGCAGAAAACTTGAAAAATAGACTGTCATTAAAAGATATTGTGTCTGTTTGTTAATTTGAGCATTTCTGTTTATTAATCATAAAAATATTAGAGGTGGGAATACATTCAGTGTTGGCGACCCTCGATATTACTTTTGCAAAATGGTGACTGTGGAAAAAAGTAAGTCATTTTATATGAAGAGTTTTGAGAAAGCATAGGGAACTATATAAATGCAAATAATCAGAATAATGGAGGGTGAAGGTACAGTTGAACTAAACCAAAGCATATCCAAAACAATTTTGATTACATGATTGAAGAGAGGAGAAATTCAAACCTAAAATTCAGTTTGTATATGACTGAAGATCCTGTTTAAATCCGTGTGGCCAGATTTTAAAATCCAAAAACGTCTGCTAACTATTTTCCAAGATATAGAAAGGAGCTATTCTATTCAAATAAAACAAAATCTGTTTGAAAACCTCAGAGGAGGGACCATGTGGTTGAAACAACTGAAAAAAATGAAATATCAGCTTCAATTTCCAAGAAGCAATTTGGATGAAACTGTCAGACTAGGAAAATAAACACTGGGTTATTCAGAAGCAATTTACAAAGAGTTATTGCAATATTATTGTGTGCACTTGGAGTAAGGTGGAAGAGAGCCAACTGTACAGACTTAATCATATTTATAGACTGTTATTTATATACTTGGTTAGCTTTTGTAAAATAAATGAGCTTGATGTTTTAAACTTCAGATGGGATGCAATATGGTATTACATTATTCTTACAGGTTTATAGAAACATATAAGGTAGACTTGTGCAGCACCTGAAATTAATTATGGGGCAGCATTTGTTGATTCTTCTTCAGGTACGTTACTAAATGATTAGCAAGATCTCTAGACCAAGATAAACACTCTCAACGACACTGGCAATGATCCAAACACATTAAGACTTGGTGTCAGCTATCTGTTTTTATAAATTGAGTCATCAGTACTGGAGCCCTGTTTGCAAAACATTGCTGAGTACTGAGCATTTCAATTGCTTCATAATATACTGCAGGTTATTGCTTCTGCAGGCACAGAAGAGATCATGTGAAATTCACTGTGGTTGCTGTTTCCTGGTCCCTTCGGCTTCTATGGGAACGAAGCTCAGAAACATTGGCAAGTAAGCAGCTGACATAATCTCCAGCAAGAAAATTAGAAATGAACCAGAGGTAATACAAAATCTGTTTTCCATAACACTGAAATTACAACACGGAAAAAGGTCGAAGAAGACGACTCATATTGGACTTGAAATGTTAACCCTGTTTCTCCCTCCACGGATGTTGCCTGGCCAGCTGAGTTAGGCCAGCACCTTCCGTTTTTATTTCAGATCTATAACTTCTGCAGTATTTTGCTTTTATCTAAGGAAATAGGCTATTTAACTTGTCATGACCACAGTTCAGAGCCTCAAACTACTATGGACATTCTTAACTTATAATTCTAAAATGTGCTTTTTAAAAGGGAGCTGTTACAGCAAAATATGGCTGCTTGGAGAGAGGCTGATACAGTGCAACCTGAAACTTCAAATAGATTGTGATCTCTTGTGACTACAAAGATAATGAGGGGTTGATGATTCCCTGCGGATCATGCCCCAAACTGTGGACTCATTTTCGGTGCTTCCTTTGAACAGTACACCTAATAGGGGGTAAAATTTCAACGTTACTGGAGTAAATAGGTGGCCTGGGTTTGAACATTAGTGTGCTGTGGTGGGCACAGTTGAGGAACATATCTGCAAGTTACTCCGGTGTTGCAGGTAAAGATTATCTCACACCTGGTGCTGCAAACCAGACAAAAGGAAAGAGGACAACAAGAGGACTCTCTCTTACCCTAAATGCTGGAATTCAATCACGGTTAAAAGGAATCAAAACTACAGAATCTCAGCCAATCTGGAAAACTAAGAATCATGAAACCAAATGTTCATCTACCAATGTCAGTGCTTTTGGTGACTTCCACTGCGATGCCGCAATGTTCAACTATTTGCTATTTGCAAGCAAGTCAAAGCCTGCTCTGTATCTCTGTTTTAAACTTTTATCTTTTTGGATATACCTCTTATTTTTACACTGTGTATATATGCTGGTTTATTAATTTTTATAATTAATAATTAATAAACTCACTCTTTATTTCAAGAAAACCTCTGGTCAAATTGGCTTCTTTTAAAGTTCATTTGGGTCTGGGAGAAAGCTATCCTTTTTAAAATGAAACCTGTTGCAACCTACCATGAGAGAGGATGAATAAAGGAGGAGGGCAGTTCATCCCTCCTCATCTTGGAGCTTAATGATTGAGGTATCTTGTCTTGAGCTGTAAACAATTGGGGAACGTCTCCAAGGGTCTGGTTGTAACAAGCTCAATCAGCCTACGTTGGTTTATCCTCTGAATGAGCAGCAGTGCCAATTCCATGTGCCCAATATCTGGTTCAATATATCTTTATTTCCCTAATCAATTCTGAATGTTAACATCATTGCTGTTCATCATTAAATCTGGTCATACATTCAGCAGCCTCACAGCCTCTGTGTGCACAAGTTATATCTGCTCCTTACTAAAACTGTTACATTTTACCTGCTAGCTGTATTCATTGATCTGGATCTTATAACTACTTGAATCAGTTATGCCCCCCAAAGGCTACAGATAGGGCCATATCTATTTTGATCAAATTTCGTTTCTCCTGTGTTTTCTTTGGATATCTAGAAATTCTGATGTTATTTTTAAAACAACACTGACTGACAAACATTTGTTAGAGGACAGCAAAACAGTCACTGCTGTTAGATTTTGATCAGGTTCCCATCAACACCATGAACAAGCCTCAGCTGTAGAAGTTTAGACCAAACTGATATGGATCTGTACCTGGTAGTTCCGTCCTTGATGTAATATAAGAGGCACTCGGACATCAGTGGATCCTCATTCAAATTCACCAGGTGGGGAGTCTGTAAGAGAAATTCATACATTGTTACAGTAAGCAATTGTCATAGGAGCACTGCACTGTCTTTGATTTGTCAAACTGCTTTACTGACATGCAGCAACGGATGGACAGAGCTTTCCTTCAACAGCATATTGCAAAGAGTAAAGCTTTTGGCTTGGCTCCCCATCACAAACTTCATTTCCTCACCAACGTTTCGCTGCAAGAGCATTCTTGCAGAGTAAGGTTTTCTCAGCAACTTGGGAAATAAATGTCAACCGCTTCAATCGAGACCTTCCTGAGGGACTGTAGCAGAACCTCATTGTATTGATAACAGAACCATACAAACCCTCTCATTGTCTGTACCAACATAAGAAGATAAGAAACATGTACAGGAGTAGACTAATCAGCCCCTTGATCTATTTCTCCATTTAGTGAGATCACATCTGATCCTCTACTTCAACATCATATCCCTGTATTCCTTGATGTTCCAATATGTAGGGATCTATTTGATCTCAGTCTTGAACATACTCAATGATTGCATCTCCACTGCCCTCTGGGATACAGAATTCCAAGGATTCACCATATTCTGAGTCAAGAAATTGTTCCTTATTTCAATCCCAATGAACCTGCTTCTTATTCTGAGACTGAGGCTCCTGATTTGTGATCACCCCAGGCAGGGGAAACAATCTTTTTGCATCTATCTTGTTGAGCCCTGACTTCTGTACATTTATAGAATCATTCAGCACAGAAAGAAGCCCTTCAATCCAATCAGTCCATGCCAACCGTGTTCCCAAATTAAACTAGTCCCATTTGCCTGTGCTTGGTGCATATCCTTCCAAACCTTTCCTATTCATGAACTTATCCAGATGTCTTTCAAACATTGTAATTGTACCTGCATCCACCACTTTCTCTGGCAGTACAATCTACATAGCAACCACTCTCTGAGCAAAAAAGTTGACCCTCATGTACTTTTTAAATCTTCTCTCATCTTAAAAATATGCCCCCTAGTTTTGAACTGCCCCACCCAAGAGAAAAGACCTTTGTCATTCACCTTATCTATGCCCCTCATGATTTTATAAACCTCAATAAGGTCACCCCTCAATCTCCTACACTCCAGTGTAAAAAGTCCCAGTCTTTCCAGTCCATTTTTAAATCTCAAGCTTTCCATTCCCGGCAATATCCTGGTAAATCTTTTCTGGACCCTCTCCAGTTTAATAATATCCTTCCTATAGCAGGGTGACCAGAACTGCATACAGCACTCCAGAAGAGGTCTCACCAATATTCTGTACAACCTCAGCATGATGTCCTAACTCCTATACTCAAAGGCCCGAGCAATGGAGCCAAGTGTGCTAAATGCCTTCTTAACTGCACTGTCTACCTGTGACAAAATTTCAAAGAATTGAATAATATCACCTCTCATTCTTCTGAACTCGAAAGAGTATTGGTTCCATCTATTTAATGTCTTCACACAGGACAATCTGCCATTTCAAGAACCAGTTTGATAAACTTTCACTGCACTACTTTTATGTTAACTATATCTTTATGTAGGTAAGTAGGCCAAATCTACACAAAGTAGGTCAGGTGTGTTCTTACCGAGGCTATATAGATTCAGTGAGACCTCTTTATAGCTGTACTCAAATCTTTTCGTAATAAAGTCAAAATGCTATTGGCCTTTTTAGTTGCTTGCTGTACCTGCGTGCAAACTTTTCATGACTGATTAACAAGCACAGCCAAGTCATTTTGAAGTTCCATGCTTCCCAACCTCTAACCATTAATTCTTCGGCCAGTAATAGTTCCTATTAGAGCTCACTTTTTGCTTGATAAGTTGTGGCAATTACAGTGCTCACTCTGTAGCTAGTCAATTAGTTCCACTGCCCTAAGATTGGCATCCACTTAGAATTTAGAAATCTACCTGTGATTATATTTTTACCCAGTCCCTCCTAGTATGCCAAGGATTCATGTATCAACCTTCAACTCTCTACCTATTCAACTCCCATTCATTATTTCTTTTCACTAAATATAGTCTTTACAGTGTATTCAATGGGAAGAATTAATCAACTGTAACATTCCATGAGATGCTGATCGTGTATTGCTTAAAGGATTGTATTCCACAACAATGTGCTGTGTGTAGACAGATGAAAATTACCAATCCATCTGTGCAGGCAGGTGGGACTAGTTTAGTTTGGGAATATGGTCAGCATAGATGAGTTAGACCGAAGGGTCTGTTTCCGTGCTGTATGCCTCTATGACTGTATGATTGAGAATTTTTTGAAAATGGAAAAATATTTAGTTAGTTCAAAACAAAGGCAGCAGTCAGAGAGATGCCTGCACCAAGAACTGAGTGATGCCTTTACAGTGGCTAAGCCAAATGAGACAGCCATCAATGAGTCAGTGCATTGTACTCAACTTCAGAGTAAAGACATTGTACATTGTTTATCTATAAACAGCTCATATCTACATGGTATAACCACCAAAATTATGGTCACAGCAGCCCTTTTTATGGAGGAAGCCCAATGTTGAGTTCCACTTAAAGATACAGATTCATAAGCAGGACCTTTTGTAGAAAGAAAATGAGAGTCTAATTGTGAAGGGCTCCTGACCTTGAGACAGGAGGAGCTTTGACTCGCTTTTAGTTTTAGTTTGGAAGTATTTTCAGGACAAGTATACATTCACCTGCCGACTGCACTTGCCATGATTCTGAGGGTGCAAATTAACACCAGGTAGCCGCAAACAAAGCAAAGCAAATGATTAATCAGTGAGAAGCTAATTAATCATTGGGGGTCCAAACACAAACACACATGAGGCAGCCAGGAAATGAGGTAACTTATCTTCATATAGCCTGACAAAAGATGATCTTGCATCTTAGATGATACAAACATTGTACCTCTGAAGGCACAAGCACAGAGAAGTGAGGACAGCAGACTGTGTAATATTTATACTTATATCAGTGTTCTTACAGAATAAAGGATTTATTCTTATTGAGAATGTTATTACAGTCCCTCGTGATAGACTGATGCCATTTAGGTGACCATTCATTACACATGTATGAGAACACATGAAGGAATGTGTTGATTTCACCGCAGATGTGAGATTATAGACAAGGTATTTCACCGCTCCATCAAATTTCAATCTTTTCCTTAAATTAAGTAAGGCAACTGTTGGGAGCCTATTCCATTCCCATTTATTTCTCAATCACCCTTTGAGGAATGTTGTTTTAGTTGTTTAAAGAATCACAGGGAAAGAGATCAGAAAAGGAGGAGAAATTTGAAGGTGGGCTGTTGGAAATGAGGATGAGAGGTCTAAAAATCCTCCCCAGTACACTACCTGAAATTTATATCATTTTCATTGCTGGGAATGATACATGAAGAAACATTATTGGAAGACACTAACATCAGTAAATTAACTAGAAACAATGGAATCGAGGATTCCATTTAACAAGCAAGATAGCAAACCACATCAAGGGACCACAGCACTATTCACACACACTAGGTCACCCAGAACAAACCTCTTTGGGAGAAAATGCCCCCAGAGATTCCAGCAACATCTGAGCAGCTCTTCTGTTGACAATCTAACAGGAGTGAAATATTAGCGGATATGCAGCAAGGGACGGGAAGAGGAGTTAAAGCAGAGGTATATGGGGGAGAGGAAAACTCAAAACCAGGAAGGGAGACAGCAAAAAAAAGAGCAGAATAACAAATGACATTGGTTATCAAATTATAGAGCAGCAACCACTAGATGGCAGATGTAGGTATCTCGGTAATGGTAGCTATGAGGGACATTTTTTCCCACACCTCCGCACACACGCGCGCGCGCGCACACACACACACACACACACACATAGACACATACACACATAGACACATACACACATAGACACATACACACATAGACACATACACACACACACACACACATACATACAGACACACACACGTGCATACTGTGTTAAGCTACATTCAGCTCTAGAGAAGTACACCTTATAATCTCCTGATTAAGGTCTTTGAGGTTTATGGTGTGGATTTTTACATCTTGTAACTAACGACTTTTTACTCAGTACCATGGGTGGTGAAAGCACCATGCCTGTACAAGAAGCCAACTTATTCATTGCTTCAGGCACGAGGGTCTCTGTTTCCCCTGGGTTCCAAAAATAGCCAGCAGAGACAGTGGAAAGAAAACATGCTTCCTATCCAAAGGCTCTTCCAACGGTTTTCCCATAAATATTCACAAGCACTAGGACGTACAACCATTAGGAAGTTTAAATGTTTCTAACCACTCTCCTTCCAATGCTCAGCATCAATTTTAACATTATTTTATTGAGTTGTACCCTATGGGGAAAAATTGCTGAGACTGTATGGGGGATACATGGAGATCTTACAAATTTGCTAAGGAATTATTTTGAGCGTTATGTCTCTAGTTGGTAGCACTCATCTCTTCAGCAGAAGGTCATGGGGTCAAGTCCCATACTGTTTCTTCAGCATATAATCTGTAACTTTATTAGAGAGATGCAGGGAGCTCAGTTTTAGGCAATGTCCTTAAAATGAGAAGGTAAACTAAAATATTGGTTGGAATTTCCCCATAAAAATGAGAATCCCTTGTCAGGCCATTTCTGGATGTTGTGTACCCAACTTCTAAAGACCAGGGAACTCCCATGAGATTTTGGTCTCAGGAGATGCTGTGCCCAAGAGCAGGTTCAAGGTTGCAATGGAGGTGTGGGAAGTAAGCTGGCCTGTTTGGATGGCTTGTCTTGCTTTGCTCAGATGTCAGCTAAAGTGCTTGAGCCCTACTCTTCACTAAACCCTCACTGTTCTCAACCTCACCTCATAATGACGTGCCCACTCCAAGACTCCTCACATCCTCATACCTGCCTGAATCCCTCTCATTTCCTCATGACCCTCCATGCTTTCTCTTATTCTTCCATGCCACAATGCTCCCTACACCCTATGTCCCTTCAAACCCCCTCCATAATCCCCATGTCATTTCCTTGTACCCGCGTATCCTGCATACCTACACTTCTAGTATCGAGCATGTACAAAATCAGTGAACTACATAATAACACTGATACATTTTTAAAATGCTCTTGAAATTGAAAAAAATAAGCCAACAGACTATGAAAAAAGTCTTACAACCTCATAAAAGTGGCAATCAAATACAGCCGTTCAAATTATTAATGAAAACATCTTTAGTATTCTCAACATCTCCCAATCTTGTCCAATTAAATAAGCAAGCATTAAAAACCGCCCAAAAGAAATAAGAACTTAACACAACCTCATTACAGCATCAAACAAAGACAGCACACCCCTTTGCACCTCTATAAACATTGCTTACAGAGGTGAATACATTGGTTCGTCTCAGAACATAGCCATCTGACATAAATACAAATGTCTCTGGTTATGTGTTCAATCTGCAATTATTGATGTAGTTTCCACATTGTACCTGGGGTTATGGAGCAGAAATGAGGGAGCATAGGGAATGAAGGACCTGGAGCAAGCATGATGATGGGCATTGGCAAAAAAACCTAGCTGTCAAAAGCTTCCTGACTTCACTGCAGGTTTGGCCCATATTTCACAAACTGACATAAATGGCCAGTTCCTACAGTTTTCTGGAACCCACCTGCCTCTGGGAAAATACACGGAAAGGGAAACTTGCATTTCAACACATGGATTTAAATTGCAAACCCGATATCCCTGAAAGCTGACATCTGAGCAGAGCAAGGCAAGCCATCCAAACAGGCCATCTTACTTCCCACACCTCCATTGCAACCTTGGACCTGCTCTTGGGCACAGCATCTCCTGAGACCAAAATCTCATGGGAGTTCCCCGGTCTTTAGAAGTTGGGTACACAACATCCAGAAATGGCCTGACAAGGGATTCCCATTGGGGAAAATGGCAGATGACGGAAATGGCCTGGTAACTTTGAAACTGTTGCCCACGTGCCCCACCCTTCAGTCTCCTGAAGTGGGTTTGCTCAGCGTGGGGTGTGTGTGTGTGTGTGTGTGTGTATGTGTGGGGGTTGTGGGGGGGGTGCTTTAACAAATGTTAAAGAACCTACGTAGGTACTTAATGAGGCGCAGAGAAATCTCCATGTGTTCTGGCTAAAATTCATTTGTTAATGAGAAACAGATTAACTGGTCATTCATCTCCTTGCTTCAGACCTTGCTGTCACGGTTCAATAAACAGCAACAACAAATACTCTTCAAAGAGAATGCACTGGTATGTGTGACTTTGGAATATTTCTGAGGGATGTAGTAAGGTTAAACATAAATACAGTTTATTTCTATTTGCATATAATACTGAACATCTCTTCATCCAAGTCGCTGAAGATTGATACTGGCCAGTTACTGCTGGTCAGATCCACACGTGTTTCTTTCTAACAGAACTTACCTTCTTAGGGGAGAAGACACCCAATGTACCACCATCTTCACGCATGGCCACCCCCATCTCTGCAAGGAGAGCCTCTCTGTAACATGAATTCAAAATTATTGAGAATTTGCCATCAGATATGAAAGGGAAATAAATTTGATCTATTGATAGAATTTTGTGAATTAAGGGAATTAGGGATGTGGGATAATGTTGAAAGGTGGTGTTAAGTTGGCAGGTCAACCATGATCTTGTTGAATGGCAGCAGAAAAGACCGAAATGGACCACTCGAGCTCCTCTTTCTTACGTTCGTATGTATTACGAAAACATGACTCAGGAGGGTATCATTTAGCATTCAAGACCACCTATAGTAACTTAGAAACATAGGAAGAGTAATGAGTTGTTCACTTCCTCAAACTTGTTCCACTATTCAATTGGATCATAGTTGATTCCAACACTGTAGAGGCCTTAATTTGGGTAGAGGTCTGTCTCACACCCATGGTTAATTCCCCCAGGGTGTGATCTGTGGTGTAGTAGCTTGAACTAAAGCATACATTCAACAAAAGAACCCTGCACTAAGGTTGAAGGGTTGGACAAAAGCAGCAGCTATCGAAATTATTCCTTTCAGGATCTGGTGCTCACAGCAAATTTTGAACATTTTAGTAAAGAGCATTTTAGTAGATGCCCTCGTCTCTATAGCAATAGGCTTTAAAGAACTACTTTGAATTTAAGGCCCAGTAGAGAATATGGCTCTGTTTGAGACAAACAATTGCTCCATCAACACGATCAATGAATAATGTGGGAATCCAACCAGGAGCGTCTGGGTCAATATATCTAAACAATGTAAAGAGTCAAGGGTTGCGCAGGGAAGTTCAGGTGAGATTGGATTGAAATTTTTGAAGGACGTGTAAATGTACTTCTTGTTATGATAGACTCTGGGGAGAAATTAGTCGTACTTCACCTTTCCATCCTTATGGCTTCTGTTCTACGCAGCTTTTCTTCCCATGTTTCATTCAGCTCAGCAATTATCTTCTCTGTTTCCTGTCGACATAATGCAGAGATATCATCAATGCTCACTTTTGAATTACCCAACCTGAAAGAGGTGAAGTGTATTCCCTGAACGATAGGTCCTCTGGCAACATCTTTCACGTAACAACTCTGGTAAGGTGGAATGGCTAATCCGACTAACATTTAGCTTTGCTGTTATGAAACTCACTGATGTATTTAATTCACACAGGGCTGGCAATTACAAATCATCCACATTACAGCGAGCAAGTGGACAGCCTAAATGAAATCAACATGTGGTTTCCAGTTGAGCAATTCTATCTACTTTATCAATGAAGGTTGACCATTGCCATTGACAGCTGAAGAAACGGCATCATTTGGGCAAATATGTGCCAGAACATAGTAGCCAAAACATAATCATGGAGACATTTGCCCATGTGCAGGATGGCATTACACCAGCCAAGACACTGTCCTGGCCAGGCTTAAACTCAGCTTTTAAATACCCCATGCAAAACATTCTCGAATTTCTCACATAGAATATCACAGTATTGAAGCCACAGAGTGATTTGGAAGTCCTCATGCCTAAATTACAAAGATCTAGCATACAAGTTCAGCAGGTAATGAGGGTGGGAGATGGAATGCTGGCCTTTATTTCAAAGAGAATTGAGCATAAAAATAGCGAGTTTTTGCTGAAACTACACAAAGCACTTTTTAGACCACAGCTGGAATACTTGGACAATTTTGGGCTCCATATCTAAGGAAAGATATACTGGCATTGGAGGCAGTTCAGGGAAGGTTCATTAGGCTGATACCAGGTATGAAGGGACTGTCTTGTGAGGAGATATTGGGCCTGTACTCACTGAAACTTAGAAGACTGAGAGTCAAAAAATACAAGATTCTTTGGAAGCTCAACACAGTAAATGCAGAGCTGCTCTTCTCCCTTATGGAAGAGTCTGGGACCTGAGGGAAAAAATCTCAGAAGAAGAAGGGTCATCCATGTGAGAGAGAAATGAGGAGGAATTTCTTCCCTCAGAGGGTAGTGAGTCCATGGACCTCTCCACCAAAGAGGGCTGTTGAGGCTGGGTAATTAAGTACATTCAAAGCTGAGATAGATTGATTTTTAATCAGCCAAAGAATCGAATGTTATGGGGAAAAGGCAGGAAAATGGACTGGAGGATTATCAGAGATAGTAGGAACTGCAGATGCTGGAGAATCCGAGACAACAAGGTGCAGGGCTGGATGAACACAGCAGGCCAAGCAGCATCATAGGAGCAGAGAGGCTGACGTTTCGGGCCTCGACCCTTCATCAGAAAAGGGGGAGGGGAAGGGGGTTTTGAAATAAATAGGGAGAGAGTGGGAGGCGGATAGAAGAGGGATAGAGGAGAGGATAGGTGGAGAGGAAACAAACAGGTCGAAGAGGCGGGGATGGGGCCAGGAAAGGTGAGTGTAGGTAGGGAGTTAGGAAGGGGATAGGTCAGTCCAGGGAGGACGGACAGGTCAAGGGGGCGGGATGAGGTTGGTCGGTAGGAGATGGAGGTGCGGCTTGAGGTGGGAGGAGGGGATAGGTGGGAGGAAGAACAGGTTAGGGAGGCAGGGACGAGTTGGACTGGTTTTGGGATGCGGTGGGGGGAGGGGAGATTTTGAAACTTGTGAAATCCACATTGATACCATTGGGCTGCAGGGTTCCCAAGCGGAATATGAGTTGCTGTTCCTGCAACCTTCGGGTGGCATCGTTGTGGCACTGCAGGAGGCCCAGGATGGACATGTCGTCTGAGGAATGGGAGGGGGAGTTGAAATGGTTCGCGACTGGGAGGTGCAGTTGTTTATTGCGAACCGAGCGTAGGTGTTCTGCAAAGCGGTCCCCGAGTCTCCGCTTGGTTTCCCCGATGTAGAGGAAGCCACACCGGGTACAGCGGATGCAGTATACCACATTGGCAGATGTGCAGGTGAACATCTGCTTGATGTGGAAAGTCTTCTTGGGGCCTGGGATGGGGGTGAGGGAGGAGGTATGGGGGCAGGTGTAGCACTTCCTGCGGTTGCAGGGAAAAGTGCCGGGTGTGGTGGAGCTGGAGGGGAGTGTGGAGCGGACAAGTTGGAGGATTATCAGGTTGGCCTTGATCTGATGGAATGGCAGAGCAGACTCAGTGGCTGATTTGTATGTTGGTCTTAGGTATTAAGGTGAGTATGGATTAACAATTGTTGAGGCATTTATCAGGCCCTGAGAAAGGAGCATTCAAGGTGAGTTCATCATTTCTTTTCTTCCATTCTCAGTCCCAATAAAATACATCGGCTATCGTTTCCAAGGTGTGTTGTCTCTGCATTTGACCTACTGACTGAATTGGAAAGCTGCACCAAATTTATTTCAGTCTCTTCACTTCTACAACCATTCAAGTTCATAATTTTACACATTTGTCACAAATAATGGCATTTCCCATGAACTCTTTGTTTCTCTCCCAGTGTCACAGTCTGAGTGTGCTTACCTTTATTCGCTCAATGGCTTCCTCGCTGCCAGGGGCGATCATTAGCCGGTCGTGCAGGCTGGACACTGACCCCGCACGGCTGGACAGAGCGGACAGGGATGGTGAGGGGCTCACTCCAGGCACCATTCCGGACACTGTGGAGAAATTGTCAGCTCGTTGATTGACAGCTGCTACTCTGCGATTATGGTTATTATTCTCTAAATCGTTCACGTCTATGGAAGGAAGCGGGACGGGAAGGGGGAGAAAGAGAGATAGGAAAGGAAAGAAAGAAAAATGAAAGTTGGGTAAAATGAACTAAAACGGGATGAGAAATATAAGTTAGAAAGCAGACAGACACTATGAACGTGTGTAAAATGGATCTATGCTTGAGGGAGAGTCTGACTGGTGACCCCCAAGCATTTAAGATGTGCTGACTGTTGGTGGGTTTTGATGTTTTCTGCCAGTTTAGAATGGACACGCATTATTGCTCAAGCTACTGACCTACTTCAAGAGAGAAAAGTACCAGAAGACACGTGCGATGCTAAGTCCCTAATCTAATCAGCTGGGAGATCTTGTGAACACTCAAAAGCCCACTTACTTGGTGCTTTCTGCTGCTCTGTCTTTGCTCACTTCCACTGTGTGCTTTGCTGCGTGTTGTAATTTGGATATTCTCTACAATGTAAGGTGGCTGCCCCATCCACTTCCCTACTGACCTCTGGCTATACTGTTACTTAACAAATTGCAGAGTCTGTGGGTAGCATGTCATGGAACTGACAATTTTGGAGCAGGAGAAAATGAACAGGGGGCTCACTCACCCACTTTTAGTCTGAGTTACCAACTTCCCAAGCATTTAGGAGGACCTAGCCCACTGGATCAATAAGCATTTTGAGACAAGAGGGCTAATTCGCGACACAACTAAAAACAAACTTATTTTTATTTTTATTTCTGTACCCGCATGGAGAAACAAGTTAAAATGCTATTTGATTGAATTGTCATATAAAATTATCCCAATCGGCAGCTTTCGGAATATTTCCAGAGGGTGACTGCATTGTTTCGGTGATGTAGAGAGGTATGGTCCGAGAAGATATCAGGTTTAATTCCCATGGTAGGCTGAAAGAACGAGAGCTGCAAAAATGGTAGCACTGTATTCTACAAGGAAATGCAAGAGAGTTGATGTGACAGAATCTTGCAGGTACAGTCACCATGGTAAGGTATCATGTTGTCCTCAGTGGCTAATGAATCCTCCCTCTTCTTCCCTTATGGAGGCATAAATATTCCAAATGATTACAGGGACAGACACCTTCTCCTAACACAACAAGTAACAGAACAGAGACTAAAGCACTGGGGACAAGAAAGCCAGGGCCATGGAAATACAGGCTGTAGTCCCGCAAGAATTTTAAAAAATACAAGCAGAAATAGCTCATTTTCTCCTTGACTCCATTCTATTATTTTAACGTTGGATGAATCCCATTGTTGAGCTTTTTAGTGAAGAAAAATAGTCTGTGACCATTAATTGGCTGGACAAATATATATAGGGAGCACCTGTAACACTGGGGTGGGATGACAGAGGTGAGACTGAGGAAGTCAATAAACTGTCTTCACAGAAGAAAAGATACAAGCGCCTTGATTTTAATTTCTCCATCTGGCCTGCAGCCTATTAAAAGTGATAGCAGCGTATGGTTTAACTATGGACATTAAAAATCAAGATTTATTTCATAAAGAAGGGTGTAATTAGAGTTACTTTGAACAAGAGTCCTGAGTCCATGTCTATATCATATTTAGGCATATTGCTCATGAATGCGTACAAACATGGCTAATTTTGTTCATGGTCATGTCCTATATATGATCCATGGTCTATGTAAGCCTATTTGTTCTGTGTGTGGGCCCCATATTTGTTCTTCATATCTTCCTATGCTCATAAATATCTATAAATGTTCCTTAAGTGTCCATGTTCTGTGAATGTGCTCCTTCAGTATAAACCTCACATGTGCAGTCTTTGTGTTTGCATTTCATTTATGTCTATATTCTTTGCACATGTCTGAGGCCTGTGAACGTACCATGTGATGTCTCACATTTGAGTGTACAACCTGAGTTTATGTAGGTGCTGGTTATGTACATATCATGAATATTTATCTTTTGTATCTCCACTGGGTCTAGTAAGAAAGGAGATGCCATATTTATGCTCGGCGTAGAAGTATGGCTGTCTAACCCTCTACTTCTTTAAATTCCACAGAGATACTTTCACATTGAGGTCACATGTGTGTTGAGTTGGTAGCACTATTAACTTCACAGTCAGATGGATGTGGTTTCAGGTGAGTACACTGGTCATTAAGTTCTCTCCTCATGGGTTCTTTGCCTGAAGACAGGTCCTTGATGATAATTTCCCAACTTACAGTCATGTGTTGAAGGTAGGGAAAGGAGGCAGGTCTTGAGCCTACCTCAGCTGTAACAGAGGAACTGAACCTTTAACTGATCTATATACTGTCTATCATCTGAACTAAGTGACCCTTTTGCTGAAATTTAATGGGGACTACTTTGACGTACTTTCTCAAAAGGAGTGGCATTCTACATTGGAGATGAACAGGAGCCCTCAATTCCTCAGCAGGCCTACCCTGTCAACAGCTCAGTTGTGGTAGTGATAGCTAATCTGCAGTGTGATTCCAGATGTCCTGTCCAACTTTCCTGAAACAGCCCAAAGTATCATCAAAATCCACCAACAGCAAGACAGTTCTGTTGTGTGCCAAATTTGGTTGGGTGGGATTCAGTAAACATACACCAAATAAGCAACTTTGTCATTAGACACAGACAGCAAGAAAGACAAAGGTGGAGCACGCACACGCACACATACACAGCAAGAGGGCGATGCACAGCAGAAACATTGCAATAGCATGAGGGATGCAGTCATATAGTATGCCTCTCAGGGAAAGGCTCAGCACCAGACGTGCTATGCTCTGTCCCTAGTTTCAGAGCAGAATATGTGTTTGTTAGTCTTTAATGGTGGTTCAGTCCTTCAGCCCTCTGAGCTCTTCCAATTCAGGCTTAATTTTCTTCCCTCCACAATCAATGGTCATGTCTTGAGCTACTGAGGCCCTCAACTCCAAAATGCTCTGCCTCTACTTCTCCATCTCGCCGCCTCTTCCTCTTTCAATCCACTCCTTAAAACCTACTTCTTTGGGCATGCTTTTAGTCATCTCTCCTCATTTTATTGGCTTGGTATCAAATTCGATTAATTAAACACCTGTGAAGTGTCTTGGCGTATTTTATGGCATTAAAGCCATTACATAAATAAAGTGTTTTGCTATCCCAGTCATTTGATGTCACTAATTTTTATATATCCTTTGAGAAGCATTTATCTACTTGCACACTCACTAAGAGCAAACTGTTTGTATATCAAGGTCTTTTGACAATGACAGTCATACCCTGTTCATTCTATGCTCACGGTTTCTTTAGACTTAAAAAAGGGCACATTTATTGTTAATTTTTAAAAAAGATTTATTTCTGTCTCAGCAAAAGCTGGTGCATCAGGAGGAGCAATGAAAAATTCAAGAGGAAGAAGTGTTGGAGCAAAACTTGTATCAAAGGGCTGGTGAAGGACCGATGATACACTTAATATGTTGAGGGGACTGGTACTTTGTCTAACAATCTATAAAATGCTAACCCCAGAGTGTTAAGGAATCTTGATCAATGAAAGTGGTGAAAGAGAAGGTAGATTTTTGAAATAATGGAGAGTTGAGGGCTATCATGAACTAAAGAGGAGTTGAGGCCTGGGGAAGATCAACCATGATCTTGTTGAATGTTGGGTGGGTTTGAGGGAACGAATGGCGTACTCCTGCTTCTATTTCGTCTGTATCTCAATGTTATTCTAACAGCTCCTATTCCTTATGTTCTTATCTATCCCTGTGTTAAACTAACAGCTCCTATACCTGATGTTCTTATCCATCCCTGTGTTAATCTAACAGCTCCTATTCCTTAT